CCCTTCAGCTCACTTAGCGGCAGCCCTAGGTCCTGCCACATCTCCCACTGGCTGCCTGCCCTCGCTGTCTGGGCGGCCGCCATGTTGACCACCACCAGCCCCTCGCTGAACACCTGTCCCGAGTACACATCTGCGACAGTGAAGCGGACATCCTGAGCGCCATCTTCTGCGGGCAGGTGGACGAAGTGCTTGAGGTAGGCCGCATACGTCCGAGTCTCGTTGCCGACTTCTGCCTGGTAGCATGCCCAGCAGGAGATCCGCTGCTGCTGGCGCCCATACTCAGCCCCGAAGTACTGCTCCTCATCGAGTGCCTCGGCACGCAATAAGGAGCGGGCCTTGGGACAGTCAGGTGGTGTAGACATGAGAACCCTATCCAGGCGGTCCGTGTCCAGTTCGTAGCTCGCACTGGGACCCAATGTCCAGGAAGCCACATCCTCGAATGCCAGGGCATACCAGTGCACTAGGCTCGCCATGGCTGCCCGGACTTGTGCCACTCATTCTGGACTCGGGTAGACCATGTGGCCTCGTCCAAGCAGGTAACCGTTGGCTCCTGGTTTATCAAACCAGGCAGCCTCAGTGTTCACTGTGCGCCGTGCCAACATCCTCTCAAGCTGCTGGTTGGTCGTGTGTTTGGCCCCGGTCCCGGGGTCTGCCTCGGTGAGCGACTCGTATCAGGCACAGCCACTGCGCGTAGTGCTTCTCGGGTGCCTGTGACACCATCCTTCCGCCTTGCGTCTTCATTTGCTGCATCATGCGTTCCACCGGCAGGTCGGAGTACAGCCAGCATACGCAGATATGCAGGTTGACCGTGAACATGTAGCCCGGCACCTCCAACTCCTCCAGCCTGGTCGTGTAAGCTCTGAGCTTGTATGCAGCCGCCTTGGCTGCCACCAGGAACTGCTCACGGGTCTCGTCAGGGGGCCGCAGCCGGAAGTAGTGCGTGACCGTGCTGCACAGGCTCCAACACAGGGCCCGCAAGGCCTCGGGCAGCACGTCCCCCTTGAAGATGTAGCTGGAGAACGTCTCAACGAAGTGCAGCCAGTCCTCCATGCGGTAGCTCTTGCTGCATGGGTGGAGGGGGGCAGTGTGGCAAGCAACCGTGTAACTAGAAGAAGTACATTACATAGGTAGAGTAGCAAACTCTCTGACAGACGAAGG